TTATTTTATTTATTTATTTATTTGATGTACTTGTATGAGTGTTTGTCTCAGTTAAGTATGTCTTCAGGTCGAGCGTCAGCTTCTCGCCTCCGCCTTGGCAAGTGGTCAGATCCAGTGACCAACCCGTTCTCGCACTTTCTTTAAGTCAATATCGACTTATTAAATAAGTGCATATGTGACATACTAATTTATTGTGAATATTTTAGTTTAGCTTGAAAAGCTTCATAGAAAACACCGACCTTACCTAACCTTCTTAGTATGTTAAGATAAGCATCTTATTGCTTCGTAATTACAATTATTACTTAACCTATTATAGGTATATCACTCCCATATGACAGCGTACCCTGTCTTGAAACTGTGCTTGGAGTTTACCTAAAATACTTCCCGATTAGTTCGTCAAATTGGGTCACTGATCCTGTCCATCCACTTGGTCGGTATAGCGACGGTCTCGCTTCTTGCAGGTCGGCGTTCGATCCCCCGATGGTCCAAGTGATTGGGACAGCGTTCCTTTCGCAAAAGTGTTTCCATACACGTCTACGACTCTAGTTTCTCCAGTTTCATAACGATTTTTTTGTTATTAAACCTGTGCATCTCTCCCCCTGTCTACCTGATCTCTTGAGAATCTTGTACGCCACGAACATGTCTGTCTCACTATTAATTGCTTGAATTGTTATGTAAGGTTTTCTTCGCCTTACCTCTTGGATAGTTCTTAATGTAACTTCCTATACATTCTAAGGTTTCTTCATGTGAGGAGTCCACGCCTGCGCTGCAAATTCTATCATTATTCTCACGTAGGTGGTGTAATTCTCAGAAAGAAAACGTATTTTGATTCCTGAAAACCAAGGAGATATTTCCCCTCACATCTACCCCTCCACCCCTCCCTCACATCTACCCCCTCCACCTCTCCCTCACATCTACCCCTCCACCCCTCCCTCACATCTACCCTCCACCCCTCCCTCACATCTACCCCTCCACCCCTCCCTCACATCTACCCCTCCACCCCTCCCTCACATCTACCCCTCCACCCCTCCCTCACATCTACCCCTCCACCCTCCCTCACATCTACCCCTCCACCTCTCCCTCACATCTACCCCTCCACCTCTCCCTCACATCTACCCCCTCCACCCCTTCCTCACATCTACCCCTCCACCCCTCCCTCACATCTACCCCTCCACCCCTCCCTCACATCTACCCCTCCACCTCTCCCTCACATCTACCCCTCCACCCCTCCCTCACATCTACCCCTCCACCCCTCCCTCACATCTACCTTTCCACCCCTCCTCACATCTACCCCTCCACCCCTCCCTCACATCTACCCCTCCACCCCTCCCTCACATCTACCCCCTCCACCCTTCCCTCACATCTACCCCTCCATCGCTCCCTCACATCTACTCCTCCACCTCTCCTTCACATCTACCCCTCCCTCACATCTACTCCTCCACCTCTCCCTCACATCTACCCCTCACTCACATCTACCCCTTCACCGCTTTAGCATCCTTACCCGACGTACCAGAAGCACTTGCTGGGATGAAACATGTAACCTTAGCTGAACAGTGTTCCTTTACCTCACTAGAGAAGTGGCGGCGTCTCAAGCACAAGCTCCATCAAGCCCTTGGCTCTCATGGCGGTGCTCTAGAAGACCCCTCAGATGATGCAGAACCTTCCCCGTTAGTTTTAGCAACACGTCCAGTCAGCTGTACAACACCTGCCTGCTCTTCCCCTCCATTCACACCTGATCTTGAACATGGCCATACGACAAACCACTGTCCAGACGCTACTAGTCGTCGTGTCACACCTCTCGTACGACAGGATGCTTTTGAGGCATCGCCTAATTCACAGATAACTTTGAAACAGCCTCCAGCCGACCGTGAAACTCCTGTATGAAAAACTACACAATAGTTGTGAAAAACCTAAACAATTTTATATTTAATTATTAATACTGCCAATGGCGATATGTGCACTTTAAAAATAAGGTGTTCATTCATAATGACATAATTAATACAAGCTAAACAATTAAAAATTAAACTTTTGAGATGGTGAAATAGATGTATTATTATGTATCACATCAAAGTGGTATTGAAAGATTGGCAAAAGATAATAGAATGTAATGTAGAATATATGGGAATTGCATATAGTTTCTAGCAAAATCCAAGTACTATACTGTAATATGAATAATTCTTTTTATTCAAAAACTTAGCTATAGGATTGACATCCTATCACAGTATTGAACATAAACGTTCTAACATACTGAACAAAAATGTCTATTAGAACAAATGTTTTGTGATAGATATGGGAAACTGGAATTCCCAGGGCTGTGACCTCAGTATCAACATAATTTTATCTAAGATACTTAGTGGGAATGATACATTGTATTATTAGAAACTACAAATATATTATTGTTTCTGGGTCATGCTTTACTATAACTTAATAATGTAGCGGGTAATGACATAGCCAAGATATACATTATTATATTAAAATGATGCATCAGAGGATCTGTGCATAGTGTAGCCCTATAAAGAACTACCACAGTACAGTACTGTCTAAGCTCACTTATCCAGACGATATGGGAAGGACTCCTTTACCGGAGCCGGTCGGCTGAGCGGAGATTGGATCCTGTGGTCCTGTGGTCCCGGGTTCGATCACGGGCTCCGGCGAGAAACAATGGGCAGAGTTTCTTTCACCTTATGCCCCTGTTACCTAGCAGTAAAATAGGTACCTGGATGTTAGTCAGCTGTCACGGGCTGCTTCCTGGGGGTGGAGGCCTGGTCGAGGACCAGGCCGCGGGGACACAAAAGCCCCGAAATCATCTCAAGATAACCGAGGACTACCCTCCAAGCCATGCCAGGAGGACTACCCTCCAAGCTACTCCAGGACTACCCTCCAAGCCACTCCAGGAGGACTACCCTCCAAGCCATGCCAGGAGTACTACCCTCCAAGCTACTCCAGGACTACCCTCCAAGCCACTCCAGGAGGACTACCCTCCAAGCCATGCCAGGAGGACTACCCTCCAAGCTACTCCAGGACTACCCTCCAAGCCACGCCAGGAGGACTACCCTCCAAGCCACGCCAGGAGGACTACCCTCCAAGGCACTCCAGGAGGTCTACCCTCCAAGCCACTCCAGGAGGACTACCCTCCAAGCCACTCCAGGAGGACTACCCTCCAAGCCACGCCAGGAGGACTACCCTCCAAGCCACTCCAGGAGGACTACCCTCCAAGCCACGCCAGGAGGACTTCCCTCCAAGCCACGCCAGGAGGACTACCCTCCAAGCCACTCCAGGAGGACTACCCTCCAAGCCACGCCTGGAGGACTACCCTCCAAGCCACTCCAGGAGGACTACCCTCCAAGCCACGCCAGGAGGACTACCCTCCAAGCCACTCCAGGAGGACTACCCTCCAAGCCACGCCAGGAGGACTTCCCTCCAAGCCACGCCAGGAGGACTACCCTCCAAGCCACGCCAGGAGGACTACCCTCCAAGCCACGCCAGGAGGACTACCCTCCAAGCCACGCCAGGAGGACTACCCTCCAAGCCACTCCAGGAGGACTACCCTCCAAGCCACGCCAGGAGGACTACCCTCCAAGCCACGCCAGGAGGACTACCCTCCAAGCCACGCCAGGAGGACTACCCTCCAAGCCACTCCAGGAGGACTACCCTCCAAGCCACGCCAGGAGGACTACCCTCCAAGCCACGCCAGGAGGACTACCCTCCAAGCCACGCCAGGAGGACTACCCTCTAAGCCACTCCAGGAGGACTACCCTCCAAGCCACGCCAGGAGGACTACCCTCCAAGCCACGCCAGGAGGACTACCCTCCAAGCCACGCCAGGAGGACTACCCTCCAAGCCACTCCAGGAGGACTACCCTCCAAGCCACTCCAGGAGGACTACCCTCCAAGCCACTCCAGGAGGACTACCCTCCAAGCCACGCCAGGAGGACTACCCTCCAAGCCACGCCAGGAGGACTACCCTCCAAGCCACTCCAGGAGGACTACCCTCCAAGCCACGCCAGGAGGACTTCCCTCCAAGCCACTCCAGGAGGTCTACCCTCCAAGCCACTCCAGGAACGTCGCCTACATTGTGCTGAGACGGCTTAGAAATGTTGAGCCTATGAGCAACAGGATTTTTTTCCGGCAGGATTGAGTCTTATTTTACCGGTAGATTGAGTCTTATTTTACCGGTAGATTGAGTTTTAGTTTACCGGTAGATTGAGTTTTAGTTTACCGGTAGATTGAGTCTTATTTTACCGGTAGATTGAGTCTTATTTTACCGTTAGATTCAGCCTTATTTTACCGGTAGATTGAGTCTTATTTTACCGGTAGATTGAGTCTTATTTTACCGGTAGATCGAGTCTTATTTTACCGGTGATTGAGTCTTATTTTACCGTTAGATTGAGTCTTATTTTACCGGTAGATTGAGTCTTATTTTACCGGTAGATTGAGTCTTATTTTACCGGTAGATCGAGTCTTATTTTACCGGTAGATTGAGTCTTATTTTACCGGTAGATTGAGTCTTATTTTACCGGTAGATTGAGTCTTATTTTACCGGTAGATTGAGTCTTATTTTACCGGTAGATTGAGTCTTATTTTACCGGTAGATTGAGTTTTAGTTTACCGGTAGATTGAGTCTTATTTTACCGGTAGATCGAGTCTTATTTTACCGGTAGATTGAGTCTTATTTTACCGGTAGATTGAGTCTTATTTTACCGGTAGATCGAGTCTTATTTTACCGGTAGATTGAGTCTTATTTTACCGGTAGATTGAGTTTTAGTTTACCGGCAGATTGAGTCTTATTTTACCGGTAGATTGAGTCTTATTTTACCGGTAAATTGAGTCTTATTTTACCGGTAGATTGAGTCTTATTTTTTTCTGGTAGGAGTGAGACCTTTTTCTAGTTGAATTAAGAACTACTATTAATTTTTTCCCCTTAAGAAAAGGTTTGGAGTGAGTGATTTAGGACAACATGTTACCAAAGGTCGTCTCCCTAAGTGAAAATACTGTTTTCATTTAGGAGAATTATGCAACTTAGTAAGCAGTAACCTATATCTTGCCTCACTGACACAGTAATGGGCATTTATGGCTATTGGAAATGTCACCGCGCTGGACATTTCGAGATCTGATACGTTTTATGGCGGGAAAAAAAATCTTTGTTTATCTTCAGTTGAGTTGGAGCGATAGGCTGCGCTTTGAAGCCCTATTACCGCGTTCATGTGTATATGGAGGTAAAACCTAATGTTATGTGTGTGTGGATGTTGTGAAATGTGTTGTGGAAGCCTCGTGCTGGAATCGAGACAAAAATGTGCTGATGAAGCCTCGGACCAAAATGAATTTGTCCGACAGCTGAGGAACTGTCTCGATTTATTAGTTAACGTTTTCAGGTTTTGAGTCCAGCGTTTGAGCGGGGCCGCGGTTTATTGGTTGCCTGAAGTACACAGAGGGGAGAGTGGCAGAGGGGAGTGGAGAGTGAGGGGAGAGTGTACTGTACTCTACACCCGCTAGTGGGTGTACTCTACACCCGCCAATGGGTGTTCTCTACACCCGCCAGTGGGTGTACTCTACACCCGCCAGTGGGTGTACTCTACACCCGCCAGTGGGTGTACTCTACACCCGCCAGTGGGTGTACTCTACACCCGCCAGTGGGTGTACTCTACACCCGCCAGTGGGTGTACTCTACACCCGCCAGTGAGTGTACTCTACACCCGCCAGTGGGTGTTCTCTACACCCGCCAGTGGGTGTACTCTACACCCGCCAGTGGGTGTACTCTACACCCGCCAGTGGGTGTACTCTACACCCGCCAGTGGGTGTACTCTACACCCGCCAGTGGGTGTACTCTACACCCGCCAGTGGGTGTACTCTACACCCGCCAGTGGGTGTACTCTACACCCGCCAGTGGGTGTACTCTACACCCGCCAGTGAGTGTACTGCACTCAATAACAAAAGACCAAAAAAAACGTAAAAAATGTATTTCGAAGTTTTCGTAAAATTGAATTTGAATTTCAATAGAACGAATTGAAAATGTAAATGAACGTTGGAGCCGTTGGCAACGAATATAACCGACACAACGGAAATAGGAGAGCGTAACTTTGTGTAAAAATGGGGAAAGTATATTCTTGAAGATAAAAGCCTTCCCTTCTACTGTTCAGTAATGTTGGAATAAATAAAAAACCCAGAGTGTTTTCTCTGATGTTTTAGAGAAAGTGGCCCTGCAGGAGAAAGAGACCACACAGGAGAGAAAGTGGCCCTAAACTATGGTCTCCGGAGACCAGCTGGGCTCGCTCTAATTTAACCTGGCCAAGATGAGTCACTTCATAAACGCACACATGAGGTAGCTACCCCATGATCTTCCCATGAGGTGGTACACCAGCTGTAATGGGTGGGAGGGGATGGTGTACTTTGCCAGCTAGAGTCGAGGCCTCATGATGGAGGGGCCGCGTCCCCATGACTGCCCTAGTAGACTTTCCTCCTCCACCTTTCTCTGTTGAAGTCCTGGCAACTCTGCTTTTCCTCCTGGTTATTCTCTGAAAGTTCTCTGTCATCACGTGTAACACGCTCTCTCTCACCACCACCACCAGCATCTCCACCGCCACCACGTCCACGACCACCACCACCGTCTCCACCACCATCATCGTGTGACCGGAATATCAGATGGCTCCCATTTACGCCAGCCAAGGGTGTTACTGGCGCCTGGGTGATGGAGGCGTCTCCAGTACTGGGCGTCAGGTTGGTGGGTGTAAACAACTGGTCTCTCGTCACAGTTGAAGCCTAAGAACAACGTCATACATCTTCCATCACGTCTCCAATTGGCTCTCCAAGCAGTTGGGCAGCCGGTAAGAATGACTTGATTCAGGTATCTTAAACAGACTTTGTTAGAGTATTCATTTATTGTAATGCGGAGATTACTGAATCATCGGATCCTTTGAATGATAGTGTCACAGTTAGGTAATTTTCTTATTTTTTTAATATACATTAAATGACAAAGAATTCGAACGCCAGAATAGTTTAGTTATGGAACAACGAGGCTGGTAGGCGGGGAAGAGAGAGCGACACCCCACTTCCCCCACAGTCACTGACAGGTAAGTACATTTCTTGATTATAGGGCTATTTTTAATATTAAAAAAATAGTGGTCGCAGTGAGATGACAAGTTCCACTGACCCTTACACGAGGCTACCAGCGTCTAGATCAATACTACTCTCCCCAGCGATGCCAATCCCTTGAATATTAATTATCAAAGCAACACTAACTGTGCTAAGATGGTCAGGTTAATTAGTGCCAGTTTCCTTGGCGCTAAGATAACACAGCTGCCAACTTCTCCCTGGCTGCTCCCTTGCACTAACCTGGTTAATCTTGTCTTCACTCTCCGGAGTTTCGACGGTGATGGCGCTGCTCTGTTAACAATGTTAAGTTGAATATAGTGCTACATCTGAAATACGATTAAATTCTATTTTTGGGTGGATTATCTGGGCGGAGTATTCAAAGATGCAAAGGTTTCCTTGTAGTGACGTCTTAACGAAAGCGTCCTGCCCCGACGAACCACCTCCTCCTCCTCCCCCCTTGAGATACGGCTAATATTCTCGTGGTGTTGTTTGTACTCAAGACTGGCCGAAGAGACCACCTCTGTGCTAGCACTTGTCGGCTGTAGAAATCAAGTGAGAAATGACTTTTTTTCACTTGCACCGGCTCCAGCAGCTGTCTCCTCTGTGGCGTCTCCAAGTGAACACACCAACAACATTACCTGGCACCACATTAATGAAGATAACGACCTCGACCTAAATTTAGGTGGACGACCTAAATCCACAATCACTGAAACTTGCACAACAATTGTTAGCTGCAATGAAACAAGTAAACCACAGCTAGAAATAGTCGAGCAAACCATTGACTTCAAGGAAAAGAAGGCGGTGATTCAACTGTATAAATCTCTGATGCGTCCTCACTTGGATTATTGTATCCAAGCAAGACCTGATCTTCAAGGACATGAAGGACATAGCTGCTTTAGAAACAGTTCAATACCGGGCGACAAGAATCATCCCAGAACAAAGTCGACTCTCCTACCAGGAACAGTTGAGGGCCACAGGGCTAACACAGCAAACCAGACAAAACAGGGCGGATCTCACCGAAACTTTTAAAATACTGAACAATTTGGAGGATGTTGATCTGATGATCAAATCATCAGGAAAATAGAGGGGAAGAGCGACTATTGAAAAGCCACTTATTTCCTACCCTCATCGAGGCCACTAGTGAGGTGGTGGTCCTCAGGTAAATTCATTATTTAATACCGTGAGCTATGCAGAATGAGCCCTCCGGCAGGTCAAGTTTCCGCCCTCCGGCAGGTCAAGTTTCCGCCCTCCGGCAGGTCAAGTTTCCGCCCTCCGGCAGGTCAAGTTTCCGCCCTCCGGCAGGTCAAGTTTCCGCCCTCCGGCAGGTCAAGTTTCCGCCCTCCGGCAGGTCAAGTTTCCGCCCTCCGGCAGGTCAAGTTTCCGCCCTCCGGCAGGTCAAGTTTCCGCCCTCCGGCAGGTCAAGTTTCCGCCCTCCGGCAGGTCAAGTTTCCGCCCTCCGGCAGGTCAAGTTTCAGCCCTCCGGCAGGTCAGTTTCCGCCCTCCGGCAGGTCAAGTTTCCGCCCTCCGGCAGGTCAACTTTCCGCCCTCCGGCTGGTCAACTTTCCGCCCTCCGGCAGGTCCACTTTCCGCCCTCCGGCAGGTCAACTTTCCGCCCTCCGGCAGGTCCACTTTCCGCCCTCCAGGGCCCCACACTCTGGCCACGGGCACGATGGCCACATAACCTCCTCCCTGTGGACGTACACCATCAACACAAAATAATAGCAGAGATAGGGACCACATTTGATACGTGGGGACATAAACATGAAGAGAGAGAGAGTTTTGGAGGCAAAGAGATCATCTATGAAACGAAAATATCCATATCGAAAGCTTTATTGATAGCAACTTGGATAAATTGTTACTTTTCTGGCTGGATTGAACAGGTGCACATCATCAAAACATATATTTTAAGATAAACAGCGAATAACATATTTTTGAAATTGATTAGTATATATATATATATATATATATATATATATATATATATATATATATATATATATATATATATATATATATATGTCGTACCTAATAGCCAGAACGCACTTCTCA